GTGTGAACACAATACAGGAGCAGTTCTTCAAAAGCCTCCGGAGAGCCAGTTTGGTGTAGTAGTTAAGTGCGCGGACTCTAATCTGGGAGAGCCGGGTTTGATTCCCCATCCTCCACTTGCACCTGGCTGGATGACCTTGGGCAAGCCGTGGTTCTGATAAGAGCTGTTCTTGAAAAAGAGCAGTTTCTGTCAAGAGCTCTCTCAGCCCCACCTACCTCACAGGGTGTCTGTTGTGGGGAGGGGAGGGGAAGGGAAAGGAGTTTGTAAACCGCTCTGACACTCCTTTGGGTAGTGAAGGGCGGGGTATAAATCCAATCTCTTCTTCTCTCTTCTCCTCTCTTCTTCTTCTTCTATATTCCTTGCTCCAAGTTCTATAATGAGCCCTCTACCTTTGGCGCTATTTCTCTTGCAGATACCAAAATGCCAGCTAGAGTTCAGAGATCATTATGGACAGCAAGTGTGGTGCACATAAAAAGCAGCTGGGGGAGAAGCCCTGCACAGATCAACATGAGGATCTTCTTCAGCCAGCAACTCAAGTAGATGGGAAAGGTGCTGTTACTCTAGTTACTTTATATCCTGCAAAAAGACCTTGCTGCAAACTAGGGTTGCCAGGTCCCCTCTGGCCACCAGTGGGGGATTGGGAGGTAGGGTTGCCGGATTCAGGTTGGGAAACGCTTGGAGATTTGGGGAGGCAGCCTAGGGAGGACAGGGACCTCAGTGGAGTACAATGCCACAGAGTCCACCCTCCAAAGCACTCATTTTCTCTAGGGGAACTGTAGTCAGGAGATGAATTGTAATTCCAGGGGATTCCCAGGTCCCACCTGGAGACTGGCATCCTTACTGCAAACAACACTGCAAATTTCACTGGGAACAAGAGAGAAGTCCCCAGAAGTGAAAGCACTGGCAGAGCAATGGAATACTTCAAGCTCTTTCTCTCTTTTGGGAGATGGAAACAAAAGGGTTTGGGCTGTAAAGAGCCAACGGTTCCTTTCCAGTGTATCCTCAGGCAGACAGGTCTAGAGGCAAATAGATTATTTGCATTAGAATTAACTAAACTAGGAATCCTTTCCCCAACTTGCTTAAAAGTTAAGTGCCTGTCCCCTTTCTTCCAATCGTACTCTGGGAGGGAGGCCAACTAGAAAACTTTATTCTTATTGCAGATGTAGTCTAGAAAAGATTACGGAGCGTGAAGAAAAGCAGAGGTGGGGCACAGTGTAAAACAAGGTAAAAACAAGCTTCTAAACTGAAAAGCAGGCAAATTAAAGACAGAAGCAGGGGAGAATTGCTGTCTCTTTAAGCAACTGCCAGATGTCTCCAAGTGGCTAGAAAAACCAGTTTGTACACTTCGGTTTGATGAACAAAGGCCAAGCTCCCCAGCGGCACTCCAGCTATTCCTGGAGAAATCTAAAAAATGTGCTTCTTTGGAAAGCTTCCATCCCTGCTTCTGTCACAGAGACCCTGGGGGGGGGGCACTTGCTAGGTTCCTTACATATGGGCATACATGGGGGAGATAAGGTGCAACTTGACTGCTTCTCCTTATGTAGTTGTTGCTCCCAAGAACTGGGAATGGGAAGTAGTTTTGCTGTGTTTATTGGAGAATAATGAGAAGTTCAAGGACTCCAACTCGACCAGAAATAGAAGTGAGCTGGTTGAAAACAGCTCTGGGCTCAGCCCTAGAATTTGGGAATTAATAACAGAGTCCCTATGAACATAAGCAGTTTCCTCACCAGGGGCAAACACAGACTGTTCACATACATTTATGATAAGGGACAGGCTTTTGACAACAGAAGATATCAATTCTAGGCTGCCTCAGGCCTCCAGGCCTTTTCTTTGTTTGAATGTTTTATTTTGCAAAATTTATATCGCACCTTTCTACCCTCACAAGGGTCTCCAAGGTGGCTAATAAATTAAAACATACACAATAAAATTGTCCTTTAAAAGCATTTAACCCCCCCCAACACACCTCACTAAAACAATTAAAAACAGCTAAAATACACTCAAAGACATAAAAACAACAATTAAAACATTGGTCAGGAAGGAGGGACCACTGAGGGATACGCCAAATGAAACAAAAAAGTCTTCACCTGGTGACGGAAGATGGCAACAGAAGGGAAGAGATGAATTCAAAGAAATTAACCACTGGAATTGCTAATGCCTACAACATAACTTGGTTATCACAAACTGGCCAATCATTTAGGATCCATAAACAACATATACATATACATTGTACATTCATCTGGGAGACACTTTATCCTGACCATTTTGGTGACCCAACTATCTGGGTGGGGCCCAACTGTGAGAGACTGTCCCACAGAACTGGTACCAGGAGAAAGACACACACAACCAGACCTCGCCCACGTGGTCATTAGTGTGGGAGCTGCTCATGGTTAATTGGCTAGGAGAATGCCTAATGAGTACCTTGCTCCCTGTTCCCCAAAACAGAAGAGAACAGGGCTCATTCCTCTGGGAAAGGGGGATAAACACTTGAGAAGGCTCAAACACTGCTTCCTTGACTCAAGGTGTGCTTGCAATGAGAAAATGGCAATTTTGCACTTAAAGCAACAGGCAAAGCTCCATCGCTATAACTCACTAGGCATGGTCATTCATCTAGTGTTCGTTAGGGGCCACCATTCTTTGATGTCACAAACGTAGGATTCTGACATCATAAAACAACTGTGGAAGTAGCAGGAAGCAGCAACTCAGTGTTTATGTATTTCATTCCACAGTAGCAGAATACACTGATCTGATGAGTGAGAGCCTAAATCCCACAATAGATGGTAAACCTGATTAAAGGAACTGGTCCATTCATAATCAGCAATTCTGATAAACTGCAGTGATATCCTGGATTTTTCATATAAAGCCAAGTAGGAACATGGGATTTTAATGTATTCCTTTTTCTGTTTTTTAAAAAGTTGTCTTTAAAGAGAATGTGAGAAGTTAACTATCCTTAGGAATAACATTACTAACGATAATATACACTGCAAGCCAAAACTGCCATTTCTATAATCTCAGCTGAACTTGCTTCAAGGGCAATTCATATTCTACAGCCTATCCCTTTTATGATCTCTCTGCTATGTGAATGGTATCGGGTTTTGTTATTAAAAGTAAGACTAATTGCACTATTTCATAACCCCAAATGATAAAATAGCTGCTTTGGAGGGTGGGTTCTATGGCATTATACACTGCTGAGGTCCCTCCCCACCCCAGGCTCTACCCCCAAATCTCCAGGAATTTTCTAGCCTGGAGCTGGCAACCCTAACAGGAATATCCTGTTCTACATAGTGCGTAAAGAGAATTATTTGTGATGTCACTGGCTTAAGTAGGGCCCATTAAGTGTGAAATTTAAGAGGATACAAACGGTGGGAGTGGCTCTTTCATTGAGATCATAGATTCAGCGTCTCTCGTTATAGCCTCACAATGACAAGCAAAAAAAGTCACTAATACTGAGGCCACATTGTGGCATCAAATAAAACCCTGATACAAGGAAGATGCTAATGATCAAATCTTGAAAAGAGACCAAAGTGTTTTGTTTATGAACTGCATGAGAGGCCAGATTCATCACCTTTCACGCCCAATGGCAGGCATGTGGGTTCTTCAAGCAGACAAAAATCAATCTCTCGTTGACAGGAATGAACTTACCAAACCAGTCAGTCAAGCAAGGCAGAGAAAAGAGTGGGAGGGAGAGAAGAGGTGAGGCAGAAGGGAGTGGGAGGGATATACAGACTGAGGGAAGTACAAAGGAAATATGACTCACCAACCTAGAGAAGAAGAGTTCAACATTACCCTGGAGTTCTTTGTTTGCTTCAAGATGGCCACCCCCACAAACACTTCATCACCCTTCAATATGTAAGCCATCTCCTTCACATCCAGCAAGCATGGAAATAAAATACAGCTAGGGCCAAGCTATTAAAGCTGACTGGACAGTAACAGACTAAGGTGCTAAAAACCCAAACCACCCTGAATTTAGCCTGTGTGTCTGAAAACCTTATTTCAACTTCAGAATGTTTATAAGTTTATCTTAGAAAAAAAATCCTACTTCCCCACCTTGATCTCACTAACCAAGTGTTGTAAGGATTTAATATATCCCAACGCACAAACTTGTTTATAGGATGGCTATTTGGCCAGACTACTTAAGCATTTAAGAATATAAAATGTCCCCCAGAGAATCAGAATTGCAGATTACAAGATTCTTGTGTTCATTCTTACAATAGCTTTGAAAGTTACTGAAAATAAGAAAGTTGTCCATGGCTACCCAGCAAGTCTCACGGCTTAACTAGGAATTGAACCTTGTTCTCCCATTTGGAAAAATTAATATCCATACTCTATGTACTTCATAATATAGGCCACTATACTAGATACTGTCTCATTCAATTATCCCACTGCTCATGACTAATGTTCTCCCTCCCTCCTCCTTCACTAATACAAAGCTTGAGAGAGACGTTGATGGTCATTTGGATACATAATTAATTACCATTAGGTCTTGTCTGAAACCAGGTTTAGGTCATATGAACATACCAGTGTGACCTGGTCACTCACCAAAACAAAAAACAAGTGACAAACTGGGGAAAAGTAGTAGAAAACCCACTAAAACACTTAGATATGTACGCAAATACAGTCACTTATATATTTAGATACTATATCAAAATTTACAAAATATATATGCAAGGCATATTAGCCATAACAATACAATATCTCAGTGCTATATAATAGAACAACACAGATTGCAATGTTGCTAGTCAGAACAATCATTAGAATATTGCTAATCCATTACAGGTAAGTTTTTTACTAGTTCAAGTTTCAAGTTTACAAAGCAGCCGGTTTTCGCTTGGTTTCGTGTCAAAACTTCATCAGAAGCAGAACAACTTTCTGATTTCTAGAAGCACCTTCTTCTCAAGGGTTGCTACAATTAGTATTGGGACTAGCCCTCAATTCCCATGAAGACTTCACATATTGGACCTGTCTGTATACTGCTAAGCTTTGAAGCCAAGAAGGTCACTCACCATACATCTTTCCCTCGTCCGAGAGGATAATCTTGCGCCGGCCACAGGGTGGGTATATTGCCAGTGCCTCCTGGAAGCTCTGTTCAATGTCTGGACTCCACACTCCTTCGGCATCATTGTCCAGACTCTTATCCATCCCTTCCTGTCCATCTTCTCGCCCCTCCCCGGGGCTGCCGCTGGCGTTCCAGCTGTTGGACGCTATTGTGATGGCTGCTCTGGGCTCCGACCCTGAGCCCCAAATGGCAACTCGTCAATCTGGATAAGGGCAAGAAAGGTTATTGATTAACCCAACAGCCAGTGCTAGCCTTTCAACAATGTTTTTGTGCACTTCCTCACCACTTTGAGTCAAAAGCAAAGAAGAAGAAATGGCCAAGTAACTGTGTGTGACATGAAAAAAGGTTTGGTGGCAGGTGCAGAAAACCTTTATGCACCATATACTTTATTTGATTATTAAAACATTTATATATATTATATTATGTATATAGCCTTTTCCCAAGATTCAAAGTGGCTTACTATAATAGTTAAAATGTTTTCACTCTTTAAAGAATTTTAGTCTGTTCACAATGTCTCTGAAGTCAACCAAGAACCCCCATCATCTTGACAATATCTGAAGTTTAGATAGCAACTTAGCAAAAAAAAAAGTTATGTTACTGACCTGCCCACAACTGTAAAGTTGCTAACATTTGTGTGTGTGTGTTTTTGACTCCAGCTTGACCAAGAATGCAATTTTAGCATTTGCTATGTACCAGGTCTTTTTAACATGCTTATTTGTTGGTTTTAAAGCATTGTTTCACCAACCAAGACTTTAAGATAGACAAGGTAGATGCTAAATATGAAAATAAAGTCAAAAACAGCTAGAAGACAGATAGAATACAAGTTGAAATACAGTGGAGTAGAATGATTACAGCCAGTGATGTCCTCACAAACCCCCTGAACATCTGACTCCAAGAAATAGAAGGACATCATGTCACCTGCCTAAAAAAAGATGCACTGGGACAACTGTATCTGAAGTTGTTCAGGAAATAATGGGCATTACCAAAGAGCCTTACAGCAGCATGGATTCAGAAACCCCCAAGACTGCAAGTACATCACAAAGCATGAAATAGGTCTAAATAAAAGCTCGACGAATCTTCATAATCTTGATCAATGCTTAAAAACTGGAGTGCCTGGGAA